CGACACTGCCCCTGGCTCACGGATTCCCCGCTCCACATTGAAGGGTTCACTGTAGCAGGAGGCAGTGGGACCCGTAACGAATGGCGTCCTTTACTAGTCAGAAGGAGTACAAAACGATGCGTTCCTGCTGCCCTTGGACGGAAAACAACGAACCACGTGCGTCAAACAAAAATGTCACTGACATGATACGCAACTGCAGACTTTCCCAAGCTACCGTGATTTCGCGCCTTTGACGGGAGACAGGGTAAACCTTGCATCGTGCAAATTCTAGAATTTTTACGACCCCCTTCCTGAGCGTATCAGTATGACACCCTGTATTACAGCTACTGTATTAGCTATTTATGTCCTTTCACATATTTCTATGCCGCGTACTTTGTTCCGCTTAGGGATGGGAGAGGCAAAATGGAATCTCACTCAATAAATAGAAGGAATTTCCAATTTTTTCATGCCATTAGGCATGGTTGTGATCGCAGAGACTTCTATGTACTTTCAGAAACGTACCAAGTTTTTATTCAAACTTCCAAATCACCCTTTTTTATAAACTCAAAAACGAAACCTTGCAGTAATCGCGTTACGATACGAGTTTCTTCGTTTGAAAGGTTATATCTTTCTTCAGAAGCGACCTCATGGAACGGGATACAAAAATTCAAAAACTTCAAATTATTTTCTTTCCAAAAAGTAGCTGAAATGTTGTGAATGTTCAATTTTCAAAAAATCGTCCCGTTGTTCCGTTTTTGTGCACACGCGAGTTTTCGACATTCAAACATTCATAACTTTCTTCATAATCAACTTTTTGCAGATGTCTAAGGCTAATTAGAAACTAGAAGATTAGCGCTTTCAAACAAGCACCTGAAAATTTTCCAGCGATCACTCTCAAAAAATAGTCCCGTTGTTCCGTTTTTTAGGGGTTAGAAACTGGAAGATTATCTTTCGAGACACTGCTGGAACTTTTCCAAAAACCACTCTTTCAGAAAAAATAGTCCCGTTGTTCCGTTTTTCCCCCTTGATTTTTTCAAGCCATTTTCCTGGAACGCGACTTTGCAGTCTTCAAACGTCCATAATTTCCTTCAAAATTCATATAATGAGAAGCGGTAAAAAGTATTGAAGTCTAATGAAGAGTGCTTTACAACTAGCATATGCAAAATTGAAAAGCTTTCTTCTGCCAGAATTTCTGAGGTGGTCCCTAGAAGTCAATTCAGCAATTCTTTCTTCCACTTAGATTTGTTCTGAAGACATCAAGATTCTTTTGAGGAAGTTTGTCTGCTTACGGCCGCTGACAGATAAAGCGTTTTGAAGTGAAAACTCCTGCTCGGGTACGCCGTGCACCTGTTGTGGTAAGCAGTCGCACTAGCATTTGAAAGTCCTCCACTCCTGGAGACGGTGATAGTATCGCGATTGTAGTTGCGTTGTACTGTTACATGAATCCTATTTTCTCAATGCATTTCACCGCGGGTCCCTGTGTATACGACCCCTCCCCTTTCGTTCGGCCAAATACGACCCCCTCGTTGTTTCTTGCACGCGGCATTGATGCAGCGTTCCAGTGAAAGGAGGAGTTGTCTAGTCAGTCCACACATAGTCATGACAGAAGTTCACTGTCCTGCGGAAATTGAAAACTAGTTTTGGTGCAAACTATTGCACTTCAACATCCTTATTTTGCGCAACCACCTAAGCAGTGCGCACAACCACCCAATTACACGTTATCACACGCTTCTGTATTCGTATTCGTTGTGAGCTCTGCTATGAAATTATTGAAGGATTAGAGAATAGAGAATGCTAGAGATTCGAACATCGCTTTAATGGATCTATCTTTGTATTTGTCTCCTCTTATTTCAATGGTGATTCTTTGTCGAACCACTCCACTTATCATATTGTCAGTTCCCAACCTTTGGACTCGTTATCTCGTTTATTACACTGCAACTTACCTTCCGCATCTTAGAAAATTCCGTGAAGGATGGATTTTCTTCTTTTGATGCCGAGCTCGTACATCCATTTTCTCTTATTAATTCTACATATAATTTCTCCGCTGTGCTTTCATCACCGTGCGCTTGTTCTTTAATTTCACTTTTATCGGATCTGATTCCTAGTAAGGGACGAAGTATGTAAACGATAGCGCGACACTTGTTATAATTCCCAATTTTTAGGGAGGGTATACAACCAGTGTAGAACGCATCGTTTTGTACTCCTTCTGACTAGTAAAGGACGCCATTCGTTACGGGTCCCACTGCCTCCTGCTACAGTGAACCCTTCAATGTGGAGCGGGGAATCCGTGAGCCAGGGGCAGTGTCGCCAGTCTAGGGGGGGGGGGGTGAGGGCAGACACTTGACATGCGTGAGAAGCTGGAATGTTCGAATTCAACCGCGATCGCATGGGATCCCCGCGGGTTAAGGCAGTGGGTCCCGCAACGAATGGCGCCCTATACTAGTCAGTAGGAGTACAAAATGATCACTCCACCATGTGTATACGGTTAGAAACACGCGGGCTCGCCATATCCCAAACTCGGTCGCACTGGCCCACATGTCATGACTTTGCCGACTGGTGGGCACATTTCAGTGATTGGAGGGCGATAAATTTACCAAAGCGATCAATCGCTTGTGCGAAATTGCAACTAGCCAATCCCATAAATAAGGGAGGGAATGACAGGAGGGGGGGCGGGGTGACTGCTTGCGCACTCCAGAGTTCCTCCCCCCCCCAAACTTCACCTCAAGCTTGAGCTTTTTGAGTGTTACTTGAACACGTCGACGACAGTGCGTATATGTCGCCTGGACTCCCGCCCTCCATTGCATGTACATCGAGCAAATGCGTCATACAATGTTTGCAAAAAACCACCTTGCAACCGAAAATGTTGGCTTCAGTGCATAGGGAACTGGAGGCTCCGTACGTTTCAACTTCGTTGATCGCTTCTAAGGCTGCTTTCATACTTTGTCGGCGCGCGCTGCGAACAGTGCGGACGGCGCCTAGGCCGGACGCATAGTCGGTCGGACGACAGCAACGACTCGCAAGTGTCGCACAGCATTGGGTGCGTATCGATCTGCGACACATGCGACACTTACGACCGCTGCTGTCGGACGACAGCAACGATTCGAAATACGATCACGCGCAGTCACGTGTTGTCTGGGTTAGCATTGGGTGACCGCGTCGCCTTCCATTTGCAACCGCGGTTTATGCGACACTTGCGGTCGTTGCTGTCGTCCGACCGACTATGCGTCCGGCCCTAGAGAGTGAAGAGCGTCAATACGCGCACCGGCGCATCACGCGTACTTGGCGTATTCCTCAACGGTCCTGCCGCGAATGGATAGAGCACAGACGCCTAAAGAACAGGTGAATACCCCTTGGAAAAGAGGGACCCGCGAGAGAGCGCAGGGGCGGTTTAAAGGGACTGAGTCCAAGTAGTCAGTCAACCGAGCATCTACGATATAAAAAAGTGACTGACAAATTTTTTAGATGTTAATTTTGCTGATATTTGTGGTGGCATTTTTCTTACTTCTATGGAAATGGCTCGATATTCGGTCTATAAATGAGATCAAAAATATTACTCGTCTTCTGTCTGCCGGCAACAACCAGCACACCCTATCAAACGTTTTTCAGGTACCGTGTTTTTACTAGAAAAAATTATCTGGATGTACAAAAGTTGCATATTAATATTATATCAATAGCATGATGTAAAATACGTGTGTACAACAAATCCTTGCTTAAAATGTGTTGATTCAAGGTGGATGAGAATTCGAAAAATCATGGTGGCGAGCTCGTAGCTTCCGTTCTAAAGGTGGGTTTCTTTTGTTTTTGCCTTGTTTCTTTAGTAAACTTATCAAGCAGAGCGTTGTCGCCCATATAGTTATCGCGCTGAGTATTATGACCTGTCCACTTCTCAAATGGTTATCGGTATTCCAACCAGTTGGGCTCGACAGGACGCTAGCTCGAATATGCCAATTGATGGTTGCTGATATCACACTTCACACTGAATCTTCTCTCCGTAATCGTCCAGCAAAAGTGGGCAGTTCGGGCAGTTGAGATTTAATTGCGCAGGGAGGCGATCGCTTTATCAATGCCTGCAGCTCGCAAGCCATAGTTCGAACAGTATACCCAGTAATACTGAACCAAGGCACCCGCGATCTGCATTCCCAGCGAGCACGGCACGGTCCCTCGCCATCATCGAACTGAGTGAAGAGAGCCCACTGAAGGAGGCGCTTCTACGGTACCTTTGGTTAGTAGGAGGTCCGGAGTCCGAGCATACTCCCTTGTCGACAATGAGCACGGCAGGGCTCGAGTGGCTGTGCGACGGAACTGCAGTTGCGAATCGGACAGCCGGGGTGCAGGTATTTTCATGAGGATTTTTAGGGATATTAAGATTTTTGTGTGAATTTTGCGAAATCTTTGAGAAATTTCGTGTGGTATGAAGAAGGCAAGACCTTAACCGCAGTAAGGCCACCCTGGTCGAATGTGGAACAAATTCGCTCCATGTGTGGCTCACACTGATTTTGACTACACTGTGATTATTGTGTATTTATGAAGAGCGGTTAATCTTCTCCTTTCAGTCTCATGATGTTCAAGAAATTTTCGTTTTGTGTGGTGGTCACATATCGCCCATTCTTGTCGCAGCTGAGAAGCTCGGTATCAAAATCATTGATACGCGCCATGAGGTACATTTGGAAAGGTATAACTACCTCACAGCATATTCTGCTGCGAGGGCGATTTAACGTGATTTGTTTATTTTGCAATAAATTGGTTCAAATTAGTTAGGCACAGAGCTTGGTGATGTTCCGGTCACCAGGATACGTAGTCAGTACATTGGTCTGAATTTTGTGCGAGCTTACACGTTGATGACATCGCGCAATTTGGCTTTTTTGGCCGGAGGGTTCGACCAAAATGACGTGTTATGACCATAGAAAGGCAAATTTCCCTTTTCGCTTTAGTGGTTTCAAAATTATTTGGACGTGGTTGTTTCAGTAAAAACATATCTTGCCATGCGATAGGTTTGTATTCACTTCCATATTCTTTTTTATCTACGTGTTGTGCAAGGAAGGACTAATGTGTAAGGTCTGGAAAAGCATCTCTGCCAAACTAAAGAATATTTGGCCATTCTGTGAGCCACGTGGTTCTTGATTATGTAGACCTATAAATGAACACAAAAAACTTGGGAAGAAATCGGGCATGTGCGCAAAAAATAAATGTAATGGGTGTGGCATACATAGTTGCCACAATGTCCGATGAGGTGCAAAATGGCGGCATACATAGTTGCCGCGCTGTCGTCAAGGTGTTAACTCCAAGGTGTCGCATCCCAGTTTAAACTGTATTTTGGCTTGCAATAATATCAAAATTTTTCTTTGTAATCAGTATAGTCTTTTCACTTTTTTAGGTCACGACTGTTTTTGCGGCTGATGCCGTGGCCCGTTTGCGTCAATCTATTGGCGTCGCTGCTGTGACAGCCGGTCCTGGTTTGACGAACACCATCACTGCTGTGAAGAATGCACAGATGGCGGAAAGCCCCTTGTTGCTCATTGGTGGCGCAGCTCCCACATTGCTTAAAGGTCGTGGTGCTTTGCAGGTAAGAAACC